AGAAGGGGGCGCCATGGCATCCAGGGAGATCTCATGGGCCGGGCCATGATATCCACACCTCTCTGGTCATCCCCACCCTCTTGAAGACCCCGAAGTTTTCGTCCGGATTTGGGCCCTGGGGCTGTAGCAGATCGAGCTGGGGCCGTGATCCCTCATGATGGTTCAGCCTGTTCGCGACGTCAGGTCTCAGTGTACGCGTGCAGCCACGCACACAAACGATTGTGCTCCCAAGTTTACGAGTTCGCCCTCGCGTCTCGAACGCTCGCGTGATGCGCTCTGTCGAAAACCATGCGAATTCGTGTGCGCGCACGCTTTCGCTTCCGAGCGAGGAGTGCTCTGGAGGCCGTGGGGGCCTCCTGGAAATGGGCACCTTGCCAGAGAAGTGAAGGTGCGTGACGGGGCGCCGATCCTCCCTCTAGCTTGAAGTCCAAGGTTCGGCGGCATTTCCGAAGAAGCGCCTTGGGCGTAGCTTCGTGGGGGGGGAGAGTCACATGATTGGGGGAGCGAACAAGCGTGCACCTTCCTGGCCCTTTTGGGCCCCCAGGGGCTCCTTTAGTAGGGCCCCTGAGGTGCCCGGAAGGAGCACCGCACCCCCTAACCTTGCCCCCTGGCCCTCGGTCCATAGCTCGGCCCTCCGGCGGCCATTCAGGGCGATCCAGGCACATCCAGAAAGCCCTCGCACAGGCGCAGCTGCTGGAAGGCATCACGGGTGAAAGACCGCCGAGGACCGGTGAAAACGTTCGAAAACCTCAAACCTGGAGCCTCGAACTCCCCACTCATCGCCCCCTCATTACGAAACGCCCGCCGGGCCGCGCAGCCGGCGGGAGCCAGGCCCCCCTCCGCCTGGCGGAGCGTACCACAGGGGGTGGCGCGAAGAGGGGCGGCCTTCTGAGAAGGCGGGGGGTCTTCTTGCAAGGCAGCGGGGCGGCTTTTAAAAGAAGACGGGGAGGAGCTGTACATAATGATAATGCGAAGAATGCTACTACTACTAATAAGATGGATAAAATTACAGAAATGTTATTGCTAAGAAGAATAATGAAGAATAATAATCATAATAATCGTAACAACAGCAACAACAGCAACAACGGCATAAACAGAAACTATCGGGGCTCCGCACGGATTTCTTTGATCTGCGTTGGGCTTCCCCCTCCCTGGCGCGTGGAGCACGTCAGAGAGCCCCAGTGCCAACCCAAGGAACCCGTGCGGAGCTCCGAAAGTTTGTGTTTATGCAGTGTTGTCTTGGTCGATTATCGGAAGCTCTTCTGGCATACAGAATCCTAAAAGCCTTCAGGCCCTTCTGAGAAGGAGACCCCTGTCTTCCCAGAGGCCCCCCACCTGCTTAGAATGCCGTCCCCCTCGCGACACCCCCTCTATGTGCATGCCGTCAACGCAGGAACGGCGAACTGAGCATCCAAGTTCTGCGAACATCAGAGCGACCAATTCTTCGCTCGGCCGCCTTCAGGGCCAAGGATCCGTCACAGATCGGCCCAGGACAGAGAGCCGGCCCCGGGGAGAGGATCGAGAGGTCTGGGAGCCCACGCCTTGAACACATCGAGCCGCCCGCTGCCCGGGGATCCGAGGGGCAGGGATCAGGGAAACCGAGCGGTCCCGGACATCCGCCGGACTTGTTTCTTCAGCCCGCGGCCCCCAACCCCGACCACCCACCGCGTCTGAACCTAAGCGCGTGCGTTTGTATATGCGAGCAGCGGCATCATTTAGGGCAACGCGTGCATGCTTTGAGGTGTATGGCGCTAGGAACAAGGAAAACAACACCAGAAACATCAAAACCATCCATATCTTATTGTAGCGGCGCTAAGTTTTAGGACTTGGCGCCTAGGGTGTCTTTTCGTGTGTGGGCGATCATGGACCTCATATTCGATATCATCACCAACGTCCGCCATTTCGATCATCGCTGTCCGTCACCCGTATCATAGCCATTTGGGTTTTAATATGTCTTTCGAGCTGGTACTGCAAATGCCCAGCCGACGGCAGTCAGTTGACCTCTCTGAACAGGAATACAAAGATGTTCTCAGCTTGCTTCCGATTACGAGCCGCAGCAAGAACCAGTTCATACCTTACCCGTCTACGAACATGAAGGCAGCAGTGAGTTGGATGGCAGCCAACATGTATAGGTCAGCGTTGAGTCTTCCACTACTGAAATCAAACGGACTTTGTCTGAACCAGCAATCGTTCTACAAAGCTGCACTCAAGATTGTCTCCGAACACGGCATCGACATAGTTTCTGACGAAGTCGAAAGAGGAGTTTACAGGCTTCGGACTATAATTTCCCAGTTCGGTCATATGAAGAGCAAAGGCCGAGGCATCCCGCGCCAGTGGCGCAAGGAGTTCTCAATGATTTTGGGAATGGTTGCATCTACTGATGAGGAACATCCACGTTCGATCTCGTCGAAGACGGGGACTCCCGCCATTGAGGATGAGGCTGCTGCGGACTCGGACGACGACGTCATATGTATGGGCACCCCACCTCGCAAACCTGTACCAATTGTTGACGTTGAGGCACCTGTGGACACGTGTTCCAAGGACGCGTTGATGACCTCTTCGAACCCAGAGCTCCAGGAGATTTTGGAGGAGGCCTTCCAGGACACGAGTGGCAAGCACGAGGACGCTGGCCAGAAAAGGAAACGCTTCACATCCAAGAGTGCGGACCCAGCCTTCGCGAAGCAGATCGGGGGGATCGACACCATATCGCTGAAGGAGCTCGTCACTGCACCCTCCGCTGGCGTGGCCCCAGCGTCTTTCGCGGCTCTGAATCGCAAGCTCAAGAGCGAGCTCAAGGCCAAGAAGGCGATGCAGGTGACGAAGACGATGAAGGCGATGAAGGTGATGAAGGCTGAGAAAACTAAGAGTGGCAATCCAGAAAAGATATCCTTCGGCAAGTGGGTGAACCGCGAGCACAGCAAGGTGTGGCACAAGCAGGTGCAGGTCGGCATGAAAGAACTCTCACTCGACCTTCCGAGCGCCAGGAAGAGGGCGAGCGAGATGGCGCGTGCCAAGGCAGCAGAGTGTAGGAGGCTGAGGGCAGAGCACACATTGCCTGATTTCGTTGAGGACCAGCTTTAGTCGTTGAACATATTGTGCGAAGGCCTGTTTGCACGGGGGGTCGCAGCGGCCATAGAACGTATCACAACTGATCGTCACCATCATCATCATCATCATCAGCATCATCATCATCATCATCATCATCATCATCACCATCACCATCACCATCACCATCACATCAGCAGCAGCAGCATCATCATCATCATGAGCAACATCATCATCATTATCATCATCATCAGCATCATCATCATCATCAGCATCATCGCATTCGTCATCGCCGTCATCGTCGTCGTCATCATCATCATCATCACGGATTTCACCATTGGAGCCCTCCCTGGGGACCTCAGGGAGCCCTCCCAGGTCACGTATACGTGTGGCAGGGCCGCAGGATTCTCACCGTTGGAGCCCTCCCAGGAGGCACTTATGGGCAGAAACGCAGGTTCGCTTGACCCTCCCCCCCCCGCAGGTTATGCACCCAGGGGGCCAGAGTCGCTGTTCCACTCGAGACTTCCTCACAACTTAGCAACACAAGAGTGCAGGACTACGCAATTCTCGCTTAAAGGTATGTGACTTCGGCGAAGGTCTGACTTGCAGTGCGCGCGCGATGATTACGATGATGGTGATGGTGATGATGTTGATGTTGATGATGATGATGATGATGAGGATGAGGATGAGGATGAGGATGAGGATGATGATGATGATGATGATGATGATGATGATGGTGATGATGGTGATGATGGTGGTGGTGCTGATGATGATGATGACGACGACGGCGACGACGACGAAGACGACGACGACGGCCCCTGAAACATCCCTGAAGAGCGGCCCCTGAAACATCCTTCGAAGCCCAGGCTTTCGGCCTGATGATAGTGATGATACACCACTCCCTCAGCAGTCTCACAATAGCATTTCCAGGGACCACGGGGACAACCATTTGGGCCACCACCTTAGGCCCCCAGAGATCTCTGAATCATCTGCGGATCACCCTTAGGATGATGATGATGCCGATGATGATGGTGACGACGACGCCGATGAGAACTCCTGAACTCTCGGGCAGCGCTGTCCCGTGCAAGCACAGTAAGCTGGATACGGTAGCATCGCCATGAAACGGCTGTAAACGCTGTAACTCCCCTTCCGCTGACCCGACGTCTCCCCACACTTGCCATTGGCCTTTCTGGACGAAAGGGGCCAGCAGGAAAAGACAGAATCGACAGAATTCTGTTTTTTTCTGTTTGGTTTCGGTCTTTTTGGTGGTGGGGGCTCCCTCGTCGCCACCTCGTCGCCACGGCTGGACTCTGCTCGGATCGTCGCGGCTCGGCTCGGCTCGAACAACTGACCTTCGTTGTCGTCGGCGCCGCCCGCCGCCGCCCCCCCCTTCCGGTAAGATGCAGAGTCGGGGGCCCCGAGGAGGAGGAGGACGAGGAGGAGGAAGGGGAGGTGTCAATGGTACCCTTCCCCACGCCACGAATGGCACTGTTGTTCGTTACTTGGATTACCTTGTTGGTTCAAGGTCGACGGTTACCTCGTCGCCACCTCGTCGCCACGGCTGGACTCGGCTCGAGTCGCGGTTGGATTCAGCTCGAAACGCTGGCCCTCGGGGAAACGCTCGAAACGCTGGCCGCCCGCTAGTTTTCGAAGTTGCATGCTCTTCTGCACGTGGCATTCCAGTTCTCTTGTCCTACTCGTCCTCCTCGTCCTCCTCTTCGCCTTAAGCACTCCAAAACACAGATCGGGAGAAATTCGGTACCACTTTCTCTTGGGGCCTCTGGGGCCCTCTTAGGGCGGCCTTCCTGGATACCCCGTGGGCCCTCTTGGGCCTTCCTGCGAGACCCATCTTCCCTCTCCACGGCATCCTCGTCATTGGCCATCTTGGGTCAAGCGTGCTCCAGCCTAACGGTGTTCGAAGCCAGCGATTCTATTTCACCGTACTGGCCAGTACGATGGCAGAGTACAAAGCCTTCACGGGCTACGCGCGTCGCCTCGGCGACGATGGTCAAGTTGTGCAGGAGCGCACGGTTTCTGGGGCCCTCAGAAATCACATCCTCTGTGCTTTAGGGATGTTCCAGGGGCCGTGCGATAGGGATGTTTCAGGGGCCGTGCTTTAGGGATGAGTGCGTTCCTGGAGGGAGCACAGAGGATGTGATCTCTGGGGCCCTCAGAAATCACATCCTCTGTGCTTTAGGGATGTTTCAGGGGCCGTGCTTTCGGGATGTTTCAGGGGTGCTTTAGGAATGAGTGCGTTCCTGGAGGAAGCACAGAGGATGTCATGTCTGGGGCCCTCAGAAAGCACATCCTCTGTGCTTTAGGGATGTTTCAGGGGCCGTGCTTTCGGGATGTTTCAGGGGCCGCAGGGGCCGTGCTTTAGGGATGAGTGCGTTCCTGGAGGGAGCACAGAGGATATGATTTCTGGGGCCCTCAGAAATCACATCCTCTGTGCTTTAGGGATGTTTCAGGGGCCGTGCTTTAGGGATGTTTCAGGGGCCGTGCTTTAGGGATGAGTGCGTTCCTGGAGGGAGCACAGAGGATGTGATTTCTGGGGCCCTCTGAAATCACATCCTCTGTGCTTTAGGGATGTTTCAGGGGCCTGCTGTTGCTGATTATGCTCCTCCTCCTCCTCCTTCTCCTCTTCCTCTTAACGCTTCCCCCATACAGCAGCGTCCTCTAACATTTCCCCCATCACATCCTCTGTGCTCCCTCCAGGAACGCACTCATCCCTACAGCACGGCCCCTGAAACATCCCTAAAGCACGGCCCCTGAAACATCCTTAGAGCACGACCCCGTGGGCCTCATGGGCACTCTGGGCCCTCCTGGAACCCCGTGGGCCCTCTTGGGGCCCTCTGCCTCGTGGAAATCCCGTGGGCCCTCTTGGGCCCTCCTGGGCCCGTGGACATTCTTGGGACCTTGGGGCCTACTGGGGCACCCTATTAGGAGCCCTCCTTGGGATTTTTGGACGAGAGACCCACGTGCGCGCGTGCCCTTTGTATGAGCCTCCGCCGCGCAGCGTGGAGGCGATCGTCGAGGTGCCAGTTAGTCTCGATGAGAGCGCTCAGCTCGAGGAGACGCAGGGCGCGGAGCTCGAGTCGACGCCCCCGAGTGCTTTCGAGAAGGCTGGGGGAACGCTCGAGGAGATGGGCGTAGTCGCATCAGCGTGGCAGCTGCAGCCCGACAAGTACAACGGCAAGCTCATCGACTCCGTGGACACCTTTCTCCTGAGGATCGCCGAGACCAAGACCATGGTTCTCACCGAGCCTGAGTTCATCCAGTCAGTGGAGGATCTCTACGATGAGTTCAAAGAACTGAACCTGCACATCAAGACGTTCAACCAGCCGAGGCGCTCCGTCAAGCGGCATGCCAGCGACCCGCCCGATTGCGACGACACGGCGGGCTGCGACACGTTGCCAGACACGATGCCAGACACGTTGGTAGAGTACTAAGTGGTACGATTGCTCCTTCAGTGCTGGTGCTGAGAGGCCGAATCTCTTTCTAGAGGCCCAGAGCCCGTTCCAGTCAGTCGGCGACGACGGTCGCCCCTCTTGGCTAGAGGCACAACGTTATCCTCCCTCCCTCTTCCCCCCTTCCCTATTCTTAAGGAGGGGGGTCGAGGATCAATGATCGAGGATTTCCAGTTTAACGGAGGAGAAGAGGGGGAAGGAGGAATTAATGAGGAGAGGGGGGACGCACGGAAAACGGCACCAGGGCCCACGGGCGCCCCGCGGCCCAGGCTCCCCAAGGCCCCGAGACCCTGGGAAACATTAAGAAAGCCGGAAAAAGCCGGAAAAAGCCGGAATTCTGCCGATTCTGCCAGGCCCCCTCGGCAGAATTCTGTTTTTTCGCGAAACCTTTGTTTTTTACAATAGAAAATAACAAAACAGAATTCTGGCAGCAGGACAAGACAGACTCGACAGAATTCTGTTTTTTTATTTTTTCCTGCCAATTTTTGGGATCACTGGTGCTCGGGCCCCGTTGCCAGTCGGGCTCAAGAGCACTTCGAGCTATAGGGGCGCCCCCGTTGCGGGCTTCGTCGAGATGGGCCCCAAGGCCAAGAAGAAGGGCAAGGAGGTCAGGCCGCTGGAGGTCCCAGAGGTCGCCCAGGCCGACGTGGAGGCGGCGCGGAAGCTGCTCGCTGATAAGGATGAGCTCAAGCGCCAGCGGAGTAACATGAAGTACTGGCTGCAGTCGCAGAGCATGGACAAGAGCTACGACATCTTGACTAGCGATGCCAAGATGGAGTTTCTCGAGAAGCACTTGGCCAGCAAGATCGCCAAAGGGACGATCAAGATTAGTCTCAAGACCTCGAAGAGCATCGATGTCACAACCACCAACGCTAACAACTTCAATTGGATGAACACGAAGCAGATGATCGACATGCGGGGCCCAGAGAAGACGGAGGCAAAACTTGCTTCAGGAGCTCGTCACACGTCACTTTAACAACTAGAAGTCATACCATCAACTAGAAATCATAACAACAATGGTTAATAACAAACACTTCATCATCATCACAACGGCCACCAATAAAATCAACAATGACAGCAACGACGACGGCAACTAAGCAACGCTCGCAACAATTGGCGGGTGCTGCCACTGTCGTTAACGACAGTGGCAGCACCCGCCAATGCACGCACACCTAAGCACTTACGGCAACTAATGTAACACCACTGCCCACAAGGAAAACTCGAAGAACGCCCTGATCAAGATACGAATGAGACAGGGGAGTGGCTGACGGAGTACAAGATCTGGCAGCAGACGGGAGGTCGGGAGGTCGGGCTGATCAGACGAGGAGCGGGCAGGAGCTCGAGGGCGGGCAGGAGCTCGACAAGGAGGGTGCGAAGGAGGCCTTGGACAACCTGATCGATGCGGCGAGCGTCATGGAGCCAGGATCGTCATCGGGCTCAGGGCGCGCTGCCACTGACGACACGACGCAGGCGACCGTGAAGGCGGAGCCGCAGGAGGAGATCCCCAACCAGAAGACCCTGGACAGCCTGAAGAAAGATGCGTCCATCGTGTTGGTCAACGTTGGGAAGTCAATCACATCGTTAAAAACAATGTTCGAGATGACGCTGGAGGGCAAGTACGTGGAGGCCCTGCATGCGGACATCAAAGTTGCGATACCGAAGATGGCGGCGGTGTACAAAAAGATCGAGGGTGTAGTGACAAAAAAAGTGACTGACGAGGCCGTGCTGCTGAGCGTTGCCCAGAGCCTCGACAAGGAGTACAAGACGTACAACGATCTCAAAGAGGCCACTGACAAGATGTGCCCGCCGAAGCAGAAGCAGAAGGCCCTGAAAAAGGACAACGAGGGCTCGTGACTCTTGTGGTGCTCGCTCTTTTCCTCGTGACTCTTGCGGTGCTCGCTCTTTTCCGCTCGAGCACAAGCTGCAGCTTGCGGGGGTAATCCTGAGGACAGGCTCAGGGCACTTGGACACAGCTCAGGCGGGTGATGATCATCCATCGAGGAGCCCAGGGGGGTTGCCATGTTATGCGTGGGCAGGCTGGGGAAACATGCAAATAACAAAGATGCATGCAAAAAACAAATAACAAAGATGCAACAAGCAGGATCAGGACGAGCAGGAGGAGAACGAGGATGAGATGGAGAGGGGGAGGAGAAGAAGCAGGAGGAGGAGGAGGAGGAGCAGCAGGAGGAGGAGGAGGAGCAGAATCAGCAACAACACGACTGAGAAGGAGCGGAAACGTTAAGAGGAAGCAGAGGAGGAGGAGGAGGAGGAGGAGGAGGAGGAGGAGGAGGAGGAGGAGGAGAAGCAGGAGTGAGGAGGAGGAGGAGCAGCAGAAGGAGGAGGAAGGGACATCTTTTGTGACACTAAGCTCCGCTTCACGGAGAACCATGTGCGGTCGATCTTCACACTCAGTAGAAGGGGTATCTTTTGTGACATTAAGCTCCGCTTCACGGCGCCACGGCTGGGAGGGGGAAACGCGACATAATATCACAGAATACCAGACTACCATAAGAAACCATACTACCATAAGAAACCAGACTACCATAAGAAACCAGACTACCATAAGAAACCAGACTACCACAAGAAACCAGACTACCATAAGAAAACTGACACTAAGCTCCGCTTCACTGAGAACCGTGGGGCAGTAACCCTTGACCAAGTACTGAAGGAGAGGGGCGTGAGGTCGCAGGGGTGGGAGGCCTCGTCGCCGCGGCTGGATTCGGCTCGAGTCGCAGACGGGGCCGGTAACTTTTCAAGTTGCTCGAGTCGCATCTTGAAGAAATGCGAAGACTGGATTTCATTATGTTCCAACTCTCCTGGTGCTCTAAGTGGCAACTCGGTCATCCGTTTCGTATGAGGGTGTTAGCCCCCGCCTCCCGCTCCTCAGCAGCCGTTTTGGCGCAATTTCGGAGCAGGCTTCTGCGTCGACTGCATTTCATTGCATACATGTTCTCATACACTTGAAAAGTGATGATGTTTTGGATGTTTGCACGTGTTGTTTGCTGTGCAAGCCTGGTGGCAATGGGTAAGCGTGGTATTCGTGACCGAGTACGCGAGGAGAGTGCTGATCAACCTCAGAGCCCTTTGCCCTCGGAGCCACTTCGTCGAGGAGGCGTTCGGCATAGGGTAGCTGGGGAAATGCTGAAAGCGGGCGCTGCCCCGATACCGTTGGGCAACGGTGTTCGGAAGAGGGTCGTGGATGATCAAACGGCTGAGTCGAGACCAGACCCCACGCCGCTAACAGATTCTCTGCGACGGGATTGGGCGAGAGGGAAGCTACCAGCTAACAAAGTATTGGAGTACGGTTCTGGGGCAGCTGCTCAGGGGGCACGGGGCCTGGGCCGCATGGGCAACGCTCCCGACGACCCCAAACATGCACATAGAAACCTACTTCGCGCCTTTGGATGGCCTTCTGGGGCCCCTCAAGTTCAGTGGATCAACGTTGCAGTTTCTGGCGAACCGCCGAAGGCGCATCCAGTGGTAGACCCCCGCTGCATGTTCGAGAGCATCGCCAAGAACGGCGGTGAGGGTTTCGACAAGAAAATTCGCGGCCTGCCAGGTGACGCCAATGAGTTTTGGAAGGAGATGAGAGAGCACGTTATATACGCATCAAGTCGGACGCACATAGATCACACCCATTCAATTCCTCTGACGATTCACGGGGACGGCGCAGCAACCCACAAGACGGATGGCCTCTTTACGATTAGTTGGACGAGCCTCCTCAGCAAGGGATCCACACGGGCAACTCACTTCATCTACACAGTTGTTCAGAAGTCAGAAATGCATTCGGGCACCCTGGAGATTCTATTTGCCGACCTCGCGGAAAGAATGAAACAGTTGATGCGCGGGGTGCGTGGGGACGGCACGCCGCTGCGTGCCAACGGCTACAAGGGAATTGTTGTGATGTTACGTGGGGACTGGGAAGTCTTCACTCAAGCTCTAAACTTCCCTAGGTGGGACTCAAGCCCTAACATGTGTTGGATGTGCAGTGCGACCAATTCCTTGGATTCAGATCTATGTTGGACCAAGCGTGGCTGGCGCAGAACGATGAAATCCCATGAGTCTTACCTGGAGTCCCTTCGAGAAAGCGGCTCTCCGCTGCCAGCGCTATTTCTAATCACGTCGCTGAGGTTGGAGGGCGTTGCCCTCGATTGCCTCCACGTTCTGGACCAAGGCATAGCTTCCCACATCATTGCAAACGCTCTGGTGGAGGTCATGGGCCTTGGCCACTGGGGCGGGAACCAGCAGCTTCAAGCCCAAGGTCTCGAGAAAAGCATCAAGAGCTGGTACGATAACCATCGCACCGATTCGCGCATCCA